GCTGGCTGCCAAATGCAAGATCTTCCACAAGAACTTCGCCAGCTACCGCCACCGGCCGCTGCCCGAAACCAGCTCAATCGGAGGCAGCCCCATGGAGAACGGCAGCAGCTGGGAGAGGGGCTCCTCAGGCCAGGGTGCCAGCAAGAGCCACCCCATCCCGGGTGCTGACGACCTGCAAGCTGAGGATGATGACGGCTTCATCGAGGACAACTACATCCAGCCAAGCGAGCAGCTGCCGGAGAAAGAGGAGCAGGAGTTGCACCTCTCCCTCTGAGCCTGCAGCGGGGGAGAAGGGATTGGCTTGGAATGGTGATGGAGGCTGAAGGCAGATGCTACGCGGTGCCCCAGCGTGAGTCCGGTGGTGCTGCACTGGCACGGGGACACCAGACCCACTGCTGCTCTCCCAGCCCTGCTCGGATGCTGAGGATGAAGGAGATGGTGCCCATTGCACCCAGGCAGCCTGGTAGGGTGGGAAGAGGAGCCTGCCCTGTGCTCCTTGCGGGGTCTCTGGCACTGGTCCCACTGCCCCACAGTGCTGCGCCCAGCCCTGCTCAGTCCCTCAACGTGCATCATGCCAGGGTGTGATTAAAGCATGATTTAACCCTGCCTCTGCCTGCAGTGGTTTGTTTGGGCTCCTCCAGCAGCAGTGCTGGGAGGAGACCCCAGCCCCACAGCTGGGGTACGGCTTTCTTGGCATGCGCTTTCAAGGACCATAAACACATTCCTTGTTGACCGCGCTGGCGAGAGAACAGGTCTGTGGCACGAACGCTGCTGTGCAAACACATCTGTTACCTGAGCTGCCACAGGCAGCCCTGCTGCGTTGTCACAGGGTTTCTGCGCAGCCTCCAGTGCTGCTTCCTGCTGTGTTCCTTCCTGGTTTTCTCTCTTCCCTCTTCAGCAAGACGTGCTAGAAAGGCACTTTCCCATGTCAGCTCCGTGGAGCGGAGCAAACTCGGTGGTGACGTGGGTTGCAGTGTCCGGCAGGCGCATGCTCTGGGGCAAGACAGCCCTGACCCCCGGCACCCATGAGAGTCCTGTCTGTGCCTCTAACTCTGGAGTTACACGACCACTGTAATTTTTGCATTCCTGTCATCTTTGTGGTGCGATAAACAGCATGTGAGACATAGGTAACTCCGCGTTGTTTCTGCTGTAGCTGATCGTGCCCGCGTGGGTCACGCTGGAGGTAGGAGCAGGGAGCAGCAGCATTCATCCTTAGTAAGTGATTCACCAGGCTGGGAACATTTCCCAGGGCACAGCCCAGTTGTTACTGTCTGTGATAGCCAGGGAATCTCTCCATCGTATGCCGGAGCATGAAGCACCATCAGAGGGATGGCATTACCTGCAGCCCTGCCACAGGGTTGATTCCCCATCACCTTCAAACCTCCATTTCACTGTAAACCGTCTTTTTATTTCTCTGCTTATTAAGGTATCCGTAGAGCACATTGTGTACAAAGGTAACTAATACACGTCAGAGATGGAAACCAAAGGGGATGACTGGCTCAGGCGTTGGATGTGCGATGGAGGCCAGTGACTTGAAGCACCTTCCAGAGGGGAAACGTGCCGTTTGAAGCCATGAGGAAGAGAAAAACCTGCTGGCTTGTTTCGGTGATCAGCCAGTTTCCCTCTTCAATGCCATATTTCTGCACAAGCTTTGCTTTTGCAGTTACTGCCTCATGTTTTGCCTTCTGGGCTCATCTTAACAGCTACCTCTGAAAATACTGTATATGCTGAAAATTTTGGAAATTTCTAACATCTTTCAGGTAAGATGGGAGACTGAAGTCTGAGGGCTGAGAAAATGCATTTCAGTTACCGTTGGAGGGTATTTTCTGAGCTTTTTAATCACATGAACTCGTGCTAGATCCAGTATTTTACTGTTGGTCTCAGCAATGTCTTAAAAGAGATTCAAAATACAACTGCCCAAGCAAATTTATCCAGGATCTTGCTCACTCTCGTCCCTCAATACCTGTGATGGGTTGTTTGTTTACTCTGACCCTGCCGGTCAGCCCACCCATTTATGCTCTAACTGAGCAGATGTGGCTGTTTTTCGGCTGCGTCTGGCATGTGGGGCTGGGAATACCAGGGGGTCAGAGCAGAAAAGTAGAGCCTTCCCGTAGAGGTCCCCCCAGGAAGCTGCCAGAAGGACAGAGGGAGGCTGGCGAAGGGAGCAGGGGCAGGTATGCAGGCAGACTGGTTCCAGGCTTGTTGCAGGTAGCAGCTGCTGCTGGGAGGCTCAGCCCTACCGCAGGGTGAAACAGCTTCTCCGTAAACAAACCAGCCACACTGACATGTTCCTGAGGCTTTGTGTGCCCCACGTGAGATCTGTCAGGGGCACAGAGAGGTCTTGGGTTCACGGGGTGGTGGTAAGGGATCCATGTCTAGGTCCATAAGCAGAGGGAGATGCTCGCACATCTGGAGGTGGGAGTCGTGTTTGAGGAAATAAGTACAAGCATTTGGGGGCCGCGGTGGCATTGCCACACTAGCTGAGGGGCCGAAACCACAGGCACAGGAGGGACCCCGGGCTGTCATGGTGTCTGCCCTGGGCTCAGCCTGAGCAGGAGCCAGCTCTGCACAGCCCTGCCACCTCCCGCTCCGCGGAGAGGCGGTCACTCAAGCACTAGCCCTCCACATGGTCGGCTTCTGCAACACTTTATTACGTATTTCCACGCGCAACAGAGGAACGGAGAAAGGACCAAGCCAGCACCGCTGCGGCAGAGGCGAGAAATGTCCATCAGCCAGCCCCCGACCCGCCGCCCTCCGAGACAGCCTCTCCTCTGCCCTTGTCTCCTCAGGGTGCTGACAGGAGCATCCTGTCCTAGCACAGTTCATGGGCGCTTGGGGCACATTTTGAAGGGGTTATGGAGGGGAGGATTCACATTGATACGCCAGCAGCATGGAGCTGCGAGCTGGGCACAGTCACGCACCTTCACAGAAATGCCCAGATGTGCAAAACAGCTGGTGTGCAGGCAGCTGCGGCCTGTCCACACCTGCAGGTCAGGGGAGCTGGTGTAACCGCTGAAGCGCTGATGCGGGCAGAGACGGTGCAGCTTGGCATAACTTCACACACACCGACACAGACGTACAGAGCAGCAGCAATGGTGATGGTGCAAAACTGTCTAGCTCCGGCCTGTCCCTGTGTACGCACAGGGGTCCCTGATGGACCCGGAGTCAAACAGCGGGGAAGGACGGCTCTTTGCGTTGCAGAGGATTTAGCACAGAAGGACCTGAGCTTAGTAACACCCTCTGGATCCTTGGGCAGAGCAAGGGGAGTGATGCAGAGAGAGGAGGAAACAGCAGTTTAATAAAATCAATAGATGATGTGAAAGTGGAAGAGGAAAATGTAGAAATAACTGAGATCCAGAGAAGAAAAGCCAAAATGATGTTCCCATACTTTGGGGAGAATAATCCAAGGCTGTGGGGGGAGGGAAAGCTGGCGGGAGCAGGGCAGGAGCGGATGAATACAGAAGTGCCCTCATGAGATCTGAGTGCCTCAGGGATGGTTTGGGCTGGAGCTGCAAAGGGATGAAATCCCCATTGCCCGGTGTATTCCTGGTGGGTTCCCTGATGCTGGGCTCTGACACTGCCTCCAGGTGTAACACGGACAGAGAGCCACGCTGTTGCTGAGGCCAGACACCAAAAAAGAGTAGCTCAGTCTTCTTCCATTGCAGAGGGAATTTAGCAAAGAATGAGCAAAAATAACAGCTGGGGCAGAGCAGCTCAGGTGAGGGGGAGGAGAGAACAGGCAGGAAGATAAAGAGAAAGAGAAGGTGCACAGGAGCAGCTTTGCGAGGAGGTTAGGATCTGTCTGTGGAAAGGGTAGGGAAATGCTTCCTGGGTCTATGGAGAAAATGAGACTGGCAGGTAGATTAGCCTCAAGTCACAGGAAAAGCTCCTGGGGGTGAACTGTTAGTCTGCCTTTGGGAAAGGCACCTCAGTGATAGACACCTTGTAGAGATAAAATACCAAAAAGCTCCAGGTAAGGCCCGAGTGGCAGCAGAACTTTTCTGCCCTGCAGCAGCTGCAGCACATGGGAGACAAACAGCAAGGGAACACGCAGGGACTGGGAAGAGCTGCAGTGCTCCTGTGGCAGCAGAGCAATCGGGAAACTGATGTCGGAGGGCAACAGCAATCCCCTCTCGCACCGCCCTTGCAGGGCAGCAGCCCCAGCCCCAGGATTTGGGCATCCCAGCACTATCCCCCAGCAACTGCACCTTGCTGTTTGAGGCTCATGTGGCTGGAGCATGCTGGTGTGACAACAAAGCCCCAGCACCCAGTCCAGCACTGATAACCCACCAGAGCCCTGACACCAACACCCTTTGATCACCCCTTTGATAAGCCCCAGAAGACGGTGGGCTGCAGAAATGTAATACTGGAACAGATCCTGGCATTGCAAACACAAATGACATTTCATGCCAGGTCCAGCCATGCTGGGGCTCTGGCACACAGAATCCCATGCAAATCCCATGCTCACTTCCACAGACACACTGGTGCTTTCCCGGGAGCAACCCTGCAGCCGTACCTCCCACCGAGCTCCCTTCACTTGCACTGCCCACTGAGGCAGAATGCTTCCTGCCGTTCATCAGAGGCTCTACCTTGCTCTGCCCAGAGCACCGAGTGGTTCTATACCGCCCACAATCACAGCCCCTCCTGCCAGGAGAGCGCACGACATGGCTCCAGGAACTGCAGGAATCGAGCAGGTGCTGAGGTCCCGGGGTACAGGACAGGCTCACCTTAACCCTGTGGCCGGGGTCACAGCCATGCAGGCAGCAGCTGACACAGGGGCTTTGCAGGGATGAAACACCAACCGGACCAGCGTGCCGGGTCACAGAGCCCATCCAGGCACCCCAGGTCTCTGCTGCTCCATCAGCCTGGGCAAAGCAAATGCCAGTCATCTCCGAAAGAAGTGCAAGGCACAGCGCAACGCTCACCCTTCCTGGGGTAAAGGCTGGCACAAGCCCTGCTGAGGGGCTGCATCCAGTGAAGCTCATGCAGGGTGTCCTGGGTCAGATTAGGTTGGCCATGCTGGAGGTGGGAGGCAGCCGCCTGTTTGCAGCGAGGCGGCCGGAGATGGTGAAGACACGGATGTCGCCGGTCTCCAGGCTCCGAGGAGCAGCCTGGCGGCAGGAGGTGCAGAGCAGGTAGAGCAGCAGGCAGAGGAGGATGGCACTGCCGGCCGTCAGGAGGACAACCCCGCTGGTGAACATGCTGGCCAGCGGCCGCGCAGGGCTGAGCTGCATGGTCGTGGTGGAGAGGATGGTGAGCACGACCCCGCAGACCAGCAGCACCAGAGCGCTGAGCAGCAGCACCAGGCAGTCTGAGAACCCCCCGCTCTTCAGGAGCTCGATCTGATCCCGGCTGCGGATGCAGTTCATGTCCTGGATTGCAGAGCTCAGCAGCTGCTTCAGCAGCACAAGCAGGGCCAGGAGGCAGAGCGTGGTGCCCACGGCTCCCCAGACCGGCTGCTTGTGCTATACAGCAGGATGATGCCCCCAATCCCGCAGGCCAGGATCAGCACCACAGCCATCCCGTAGCACAGGATGGACTTCTTGGGGTCCTGGAACCACCAGAGCTCCACATGCTCCTCCAGGATATTCCTCTGGATGTGGTCCGCATCGGCAGGGGTGCGGGGGGTGCTCGGCTCTGCCAGCTCCGGCATGATGGGCAGCTGGGTGCGGAGGGGCAGAGATGGATCTAGATCCTTACAGCGAAGTGGAGGGTCAAGGCAGCAATGGGTGCGATGACAGACACATTTCCCAAGCAGGGTTGCCTCTGCCTCATTCTCAGGAGCCTGGTGGAGCTCCCTTCTGCAGCAGTGCCCCCTGGACAGGTAAGGTTCCTGTGCTGGGGCTGAGCCCACCCCTCAGGCAGGACTGCAGGATGTGGTGGAGCATCCCCAGAGCAGCATCGCAAGGGAACGACCAGGGCTGTGTCCTTCCTTTCCTGTGTGTTTCATCTGAAAGAGTCAAAAAGAGAAGATAGCATTAAACAGAAAAACCCTGCTCCCTGCACCAAACAACCGTCTGCCAAACTTCAGGCCTCGGTTGCTCAGGGCTGCCCTGCAGACCTTCCCCTCACAAAAGCCCCGTGAGTTGGAGCACAGGTCAGCCACACATGTCTTCCCAGTAGACCTCCTGCCACTGCGGGGGGACCCCAGTGTGCCCCAGGCGAGTCTCCTGCCCCCCCAGCCCTGCGTGCCCTGCGCAGAGGCTACTGGCATGTCACTGCCCACAGGACTCTGCCTGCAGCTGGTGCTGGCAGCAGGGCAGGGACAGAGCAGAGGCAGGTCCCTCCTGGGATAAAGCCCTATTCACAGCTCCGGCTTCACATGCTCCCTCATCAGCATCAGCCTCTTGTCACCAACTGGCTCTGCTGCCCAGAACGGCAGCGGGAGGTGGGGGTCAGGACCAGGGCTTAACCCTTCCAGTCCAGTTGCTGGAAGAGCGAGAGCTGTCCTTGCTGCACATCCTCCGCTCGGTCCCTACACCTGCACTACCGGCTGTCCGCTCCCAAGTCCCTTAAAGATACGTGATGGTTACATCTCCAGTGGTCTCAGCACTCCCCTGGAAAGAGCCCCCGAACATCAGGGACCTGGAACCCTGCAGTTTTGCTCTCCTCTCTGCTCCTGGTCCTTGAAGCACTGCATCCCCGGAGGGGAGCAGGGCAAGGGCATGGGCGGCTGCAGGGTGGAGGCGGGTTCCGTGGTGCTGTGCTTAGCTGGGGTCCCCCTGTCTCAACCCGCAGCCTGGCTTCCCAGGCTCATCACCTCCCCAGCATCCTGCCCCCCTTAACGCATCTCTGGGTACAGTTTTACACCAAGTGTGGAAACCACTTGCATTTCTTTCCCGTAACATCCCTTTCCAGCTGGTCCCACAGCCCCAGAGGAACCCTCCAGCATCGCTGATACCCACAGCAAGGAGAGCTGCTGGGGAGGGCAGCACAGGGGTGTCTGGTGAAGCTCAGGTATGGCTGAGTTTTGAGACATGGGGCAGACCCTGGAGACCCCTGAATTGCCTCTCCAGTCACCCCCAGAACATGACAATGCACCCTCGGCCATCACAGGCATATGCACACAAACCGCTCAGGGTCCCGCAGGAGCCCGCGGTGGGACAAGAACTGATGTAGGTCCCTTGTGTCAGAGCTGTGTCACTTCTCCTGGGCAGGGGGGGTGGCCACGCAGCACCCTGCCTGCTAGAAATGGGTCTCCAGGAGCCCATCAGCCCCCACCAAACACCCCACTTGTCTCTCTGCCCTGCTCTGCGTGGCACCGGACCTCTGGGCTCATTACGGATGGGTGGGACGATGTGTGACCTCCACGCAGGGCAGCTCTGCACACACCACCCACAGCTCTCCTGGTCCTCAGACAGTCTCCACAGACCACATCCCCTTATGGCACTGCCTTTGCTACCCACAAACGCCCCAAAATCCTCCTCCATCAGGGACAAGCCAATGTGGGGTGGGGGAGAGGGAGGACAATAGTGTGTGCGTGCCTGAGCCAGACACTGCCTGACAGTGTCAGGCCAAGCTCCTCCTGAGTCACTCCCCGGCCGTGATGGAGCATGAGGTCACTTTGGACGTGGCTCAGGGCACGCTGCCAGCTGGCAGCACGTGTCCGGGAAGTCTCTAGCCACCACGGGTATGCAGGCCCAGGACCCATCGCTCCGTGTGCTGATTCCATGTGTGGCTGCTGGTGCTTGAATCACCTGGGCAGGGAGTGGGCTGGGACACAGAAGCCCATGCTCCAGAGGGTTCACTTGCCTGTAGGTCTGTGGGAGTTCTGCAGCCCCTGGCTAGAGCCAGAGCAATCAGAAAGCACCCATTAGAGAGCAAAAAGAAGACGTGCTTGAGCATGCTGATTTGTGCCTGCTGGGAACCAGCTCACTTCCACATGAAGCAGCAGGTACCTCACAGAGTCTGCACAGGCACGCGTGCCAGGGACACAGGTCCCCAAGAAGGTGACAGTGTTGTGGGGCACTTTTGAAGCCAGGGGGTGAGAAGATGTTCATCCTGGAGACATTGCCCCAGCCTATGCAAACCAGCTGGGCGCTAAGCACTACTTCCTCCTGCCTTTCCTTCTACAAGCCCAAAGCTGCCTTATCTCCTCCCTACCAGCAAACGGGTGAGTCTAGCAGATAGCAGGTTTGTAGATTAGACGGAGATTTCAGACTGAGAAAACATAAAGCTTGGAGAAGTGCAAAGTCTGCGGCCTTCTGCTGCTTGACCGAAGTTGCGCACACAAGTCATGAGTCAACCAGTAAGCAAAAAAAAACACCTAAAAAACACCACAACAGCACAAACCACAATGGAGGAGAACACGACCGAAAATCAAGCTGCAGCACTGCATTCTCATGTTACTTTTTAAAATTTAACCTTTTTAATTTTATTTGCTCAGAGGAAGGTCAGGGAGCAAGGTAAAACATCTGCCCACAGAACAAAATAAGGCACGACCTCTACGGGCACATATTTCCTAGTGTTACATTAACCTCTGTGAAACAAATGATCTGGAGAGGCAAAGGCTCCCGCTGGAGTGTGCCTCCATGGTTCCTTGTGTCTGTTTGAAAATGTTCTGGGAATACAGTGTTTTGCTCTATAAGCATCCACACTTGCTTGGGCTTCTGTGGGGGTTTGTGTTGCTAGTGACAGCATCTTTACTCCCAGAATCACAGAGTAATTCAGGTGGGATGGGACCGTGAGATGTCACCTGGCCCAACTGCCTGCTTAAACCAGAGTTAACCTCAAAATCCAGCTGAGTAGCTCCAGGCTCCATCCACTCCGGTGCTGGATACTGCCGAGGGTGAAGGATCCGCAGCCCCTCTGCGATTATTCCAGTGTTTAACCATCCTCACCACACATACATTTTTCCTTAAATGTAACTACAGCTTCCAATTCCTCAGCGTGGCTGTGTTGCCTCCTCTCCTTCACCTGCATACCTTTTAAGAAAAATCTACTGTCCTTATGTTTTAAACTGGAGCAGCCCTACCCTGGGCTGTCACCCACCGCTCTTTGCAGAAGGGACAAGACTAGTTCTCACAGCAGCCGTGCTGATCTGGTTTCTTGGCATTATGCAGCACATCAGTTTGCCCAGATCAGATCGAGAGAAAGGAAGGGTTGGGGATCTCTGCTCTGCCAGCAGGGAGAAGGACAGCCTTTCCACAGTAGTTGTCCCTTCTGTAGCTCTTCTTCGGGCTGCCTGGTCTCACTGGTCTGGGATAGACCGTAACACAGACCCTTTGGGAGTTTAAGTCAGCCCATTGGATTAACCAGTTTGATAACGTCTAATCACAGGTCATTACCTCCACCATTTACTTTATACTGAACTCAGTACCTTCAGCACTCATTTCTTTGTGTGTAAGAAAATAAAGGAAGAGAGGACCAGCCCACAATGTTTTCTGACTGAAGGCCACATGTCAGGAAAAGACTGACAGTCTGTCCTTTCCCACTGCTGGCTGGCAGCTGGGGAGGAAGAACAGGAATGCACTGGGAATGCAGGAAAACAAGAATGTTAATGCCTGCTTTTTTTTTTTTGGTTTTTTTTTGTTTTTTTTTGTATTCTGGCAACATTTACCTGGGAATTGAGGATCATCATCTGACTGCCTGGGAATGGTACAGACATTTATTTATTTACCTGTAGACTTTTAATGTCAGATTGATGGTCTGATATCTGACAGACTGATATCTGACAGGCCATAGACTGTGTGTTAATGAACACTGACATTTCAGAGCCATATACAGCTCAGCTGTTGAAATATTCCTCACTTCCCTCCTCTCCCTGAGCTCAGGGTACTACTCCATGAGAGCTTGCTCACCCCAAGTGTTCAGAAGGGGAAGCCTGGGGGCAGGACAGGCTCCGGAGGGGTTTTATGCAGCTATGTGGGCTATGTGAGCATCAGGGAGACCAGAGGAGCCTGGCAAGATTTGCTGTGAAGTAAGAGTAGATAAAATGATCTGCATGAACAATCTAGATGAGAGCCACAGCGCCTCACAGTCTCAAACAGATACGAGCCATCTCCTTCCCCTGCTTCTCCAGTCCTTCACAGCTTACTTGCTTCCTGGCCAGGTCTGGCCAGAGCCTGTTTGGGATGGACTCTGTGGCTCACGTTACCTCTTGTCCAGCCCCACAGAAACCTCTAGTCCAGAACAGGCATAATTGTTTTCCCATCCTTATGTGCAATTTTTCCAACTCCCTAGTAGACTCAAAGAGGATGAAGCTCATATACTTTGTTTTATGCCTGAATTAGTGCCAATGCACAAAGCAGAAGCTCTGAAGGTCATAGTGTTCAAGGCCCATCCGTGCCCCTGGGAGCATGGATGCTGCTGCCCTGGGACATGTGAGAAGACCCTCTCTCTTCTCCTGAGAACTCAGGAGTGGGGTTAGAGGAACCCACAGGGATGGGAGTAATGGAGCTTTTATGTGGCATCTGTCTGTCCTGGCAAGAGATCCACACTCTTGTCTGACACCAATTTCCAGTGCTCCTCCTTTCCAGGGGTGTTCAAAATCCAGACAAACCTATCTTATCCAATCTACACCTGGGGAGAGCCCACCCTCTCTACCCTGCCAGAGGGGTAGTGTTTTTCCAGAAGCGAGCATCCCTCCCACCAGCACTCCTGCCACCAGACATCATTCGGGATGACCCAGGGAAGCTCTGGGTGATGGCAGACCTTCCATCACATCTCGGGGCTCTGGGGATAAGGCTGCTGGAGGGCTTCTTGTAACTGGGTCAATATGCAGCGGCTTTTTACAGAAATCTAGATAGCTTTGGCATGCTCTGAAGTTCCATGTTCCCCCTCCTCTCCAGCATCCCGACCCCATGGAGCCTGTCCTGATGCACCTGCCAAGGGAGGCCTGGGAGCCTCAAAGGAACTAGAAAATCATGAGCCTTATGTGCTGAGAGGAAGCAGGATGGCACAAGGAAGAAATGACGCAGAGGCAAGAGGCAGGATCTCTTAAGCAGCAGGTCTGAAGCAGCCCCAAGCCTGGCAGCAGGTACTGATGAAGTACCGCACGGTCACGGTCACGGGGAGGAGGGCTCACTCACCTGCAGCGGACGCTGCTCACACACCCCAGCCCAGCAGTGTTCCCTGCTCCTGCCTGGCAGCAGTGGTTTTCCGGACTTCCCTTCTGCTGGATCGAGCTACTGAGGGAGCTCTCAGGGAAAACCTCTTCCCTTCCTTCGGCAACGGCCTGCCAAGAAGCAGGTGCTCCTGCCGGCTCCCCTTCCTGGTGCGGGCAGCGCCGACATAGGCTGCAATCCCTCACCTCTCGCCCGGGCAGGTGCATTCCCCAGCAGGGTGGCGTCTCAGCAAACCTGCTGCTGGCCTTGGAGAAGCTCCAGAGCCTACTCCTCCCTCCCTCTGTCCCTCCCCCCCTGGCAGGATCTGGCCGCACACCATCCTGAAAGGTGGCTCATTTCCTCCCGCTGGAGGTGAAGGGGTGCCAGGGCTCCCAGGCAGCAGGTGAGAGAGAGCCTGCAGCCAGGTTGGCAGTACTGGGAGGATTTGACTCATTCAGCAACTATTTGGTATGATGGGGTATTAAATAAAATAGCTCCTGCACTACTGCCCAGGCCAGGGCCACGTGAACGCATCAGGACTGGATCTTGGCATGGCATTTGTCCAGGCAGGCTCTGAAGTCAGGCAAGATGCCACTTTTCAAACTGCAGTGCCATCTCCCCATCGCCAGGCAGCCACAATGCCCCCCCTCCATGGGAGACAGTGGCGTCAGCAGAGCCCACCGGCCTGCTGAAGAACCGAATTCCTGGTGCTCCAGCGGGAGGCAAAGGGTGACCAGTTTGAGAGGGATTAGGGAAACAGAAAAGGACTCACTTGAAAGAGGAAGAGGGAAAAAGGGAGAAGCAGGAAGGTTGAAGCCAGCAGGGGAATGGGAGTCCCAGGCTGAGTGCATGCCCCCTCCTCTGGGGCTGGGCTTCGACAGCAGAAGGGAACACTGTGGGCCTGAGCAGCTGCAGAACCTCTTGGGAGATGTAGGAAGAAGAAAACAGGGCTGAACACCAGCTCTTGCTTGACCCATGGAAAGGAAGGCTCAGTTGTTAAGTTGCATGCTAGTTTTTTAGCAGGCTATGAGAAGGGAAGCTTAGGATATGCTAATACAATAAACACCAATTAGCATGAGAGCTTCAGGAATTTGTCTGAGTAAAATCTGACAGAACTTTTGAAACCTGTGAAATATCATCAGTCCAGTGGTTGTTGTCCCAAACCTGAAATGGCAAATGGCACGTGGTAGATTTCCCTATACAAACACCCTTGAACAATGAGCTTGCCCCTACCCAGAAAAACCTGTCCTTCAGTTAGGCCAGTTAACAAACACGTCATCCAAGTGGAAACCTTATTCAGCTTTAAAGATAGCCATGTACTCACTTCACACAGTGGGCTGTAACTCTATAAGAGCATGAGATGCTCACCAGCTCCTTTAGAGAGGTACCAAGAGAAGAAACAGGCAATGCAGACCATGGGAGGATGAAAGCGGAAGGTGTCTTCACACCCTGAGAGAATTCAGATCATTAGCGTGCAAACCCAGAATCCAGTTACAACTTAATTGTGAAACATTTCTATGGCGTGTGTGTGGGAGATCGACCTTGGTCTAATTTTCCCAGTAGAGAAAGGCCTTGTGCATCTATTTTGTTTCCAGCAGGTCTCTGATAAACCTCAGTTGTAACACCCTCCTGTGTTTGACTTTTAATGGTCTCCCTTACAAATATTTTTTAGCTGCTCCTTAGCAACAAAATCAAGTACAAAATCCTCTTGAACCTAGTTCGCCAGCTGTCTAGCCAGGCTTCATCCAACAGGCCTCATATTGCCTTTACAATCTTTCTAAGGAGGGTGACACACGGGCATACTTTTAAGCATATTAATCAACACTTAGAAATCATTCTTCACCTGCAGATACTTCTTCCTTTTATCAGGACAAGGTTCTTCTTCCATCCGACTCCATTTCTCTAAACCACATCTATTAAAGCAATGGCTTCTACCGCTCAATTTATTCTGACAGAGTGAGGGGAAAATTATACCACATGGGAGTCTAGCAAATTAAAAGGGGCGTGTTCTGAAAATTTAAGAGGGAACTAGTTTCTAAAATATTTGCTAATTACATTAATTACATCCTCTTTCTGTACAGGAAGTATCAAGATGAATATATGGGGAGGCAGGGAGGAAGAAAGGGTGTTAAGCTAGCACATTAGCAGACCAATTCCACTGTAACTTCTTCCTTTTGTTCTTGTGAAACCTGTGCTTCACACAGGTTAAAGCTGTGAAATTAAAAAAGTAGGACTAAAGAAACTCAGCTCCACGTTCATGGACAAAGCACTCAACTGGACTCTCCCAGGTCACAAGAGCTCGTGGAACCACCTGTTTTGCTATGGTGTTACCCTGGAAATGAGTCCAGTATCCCTGATGGCAATACAGCTTGCACGTTATCCAGCCTTGGCACCACCATCTTCTGTAAAACATTATTACTAGTATGCAGAAAGCACTTGCCAGCTGTCTACAATTCAGGATGGGAAACAGAAACAGCAACGTACTGGCTGTTACAATACCATGTAGTTCCATGCTCAATCGGTAGCTTAAACTGCTGATGTATGTGACATCAGTGAGACCCTGTCATGCACTGGCAACAAAGGATGAAAAGTTTACTTTTTGTCCCCACGTTATTAGAGAAATTACTCCCTGCCTATTTCTATACACGAGTGCTTTGCAGACTAACTTTTTAGAAGGATTTCACTGAAAAACTGAACTGAAGGGAATGCAGATGTTGGAAGAAAGACAAGCGAAGATAAATTTACCGAAGTTATAGGAGTTATGACACAAGGTTTAGACTTCATTTCAGATTTCAGAGTCTGAAACTGGGCTGCCTTTTTGTCCTGCTAAGAAGGTTTAGCAATGGATGAGACAACACATCTCTAGACAGGAGGCAGAGGCTTGAGCCATTGTGCTTGGCCACTAGTCAAAGGCTGCCCTCGGAAGGTAATTGATTTTCAGTCTGTGGCTGGACACCTGCTTGGAATAACACTGACATCTCTCTTAAGTGCGGGCAGTCCTTTGTATGGCCACAGGCAAGTCATTCTGGAAAATAAAAGGCTGAGGTTGATTTTTGCAGCAAAATGACACCAGATTAGAATTATAGCAGAAAAGGCTTACAGAGTTT